GTGAAGCCCCTTCTGAAGCTCGTTAAGATCATCAAAGTCAGTGGTAGCTTCTAGCTACTAGTAACAGGTGCATCGCTACTAGTAACAAGCGCATCGCTACTAGTAGCTTCTTGCTACTAGTAGTGATCTAGTTGCCCTTTGGATCCCCACTTGGCTCTTCACCCAGCTCTTGGCTTGTTGTCCCCACCAGAATTTGGAGCTTGGCTTGGTGCTTAGAAGGGACAGATTGGTGATCCTTTTTTTGTCCAAGCTGTTGCTCACTCTCATCATACTACTTGCAGTGAGCTCATCCACAAAAATGTATCACAAAAAGGTTGACAAGACCGACTATGCTGGTGGTGAGCGCGCAATAGTTTCCCAACGCCCTGTTCAAGGTGTGACATCGTTGAGCTTTGGACACCGATGCTCCTGGTTCAACCTCGCAATCCCTGCGTCAGGTGGCAAAGCATCCGAAGACCAAGGTGCAGATCACATGGGCAATTTGGTTTGCTTCGGCAGCTGACGTATACATTAATGACAGTGACATATTAATGGTTATGATGATATGATATGCTTGACATCCTGATTCACGATGTAGTGTAGATCCAATCCCTATTTTCTTTTTCCAGGTAAACTACGCTGCCATATTTGCTGGTGTGAGTGTGAAAATGCAAACTATCTATATAACAAGAAAGGAGGCCAAGTTTGTTTCATCACGTAGTCACATGATTTTGCAGGACGGAGGACTGTACTGTATCACTTGCCGGGTTTGATTGATTTCCCTTTCACACTGGGCAAGATCTTGTTTGATGATCGACGCGTTCAACCGCATTCTGTCCAGATTGCACAACATGTGTTGTTGTGCAGTTTTTGCCTTAACTTCGCACTTTAACATGCACATATTATTTTTGCAAATGGGCACCAGAGAACCAAACTTTGGGATGGTAAAGTGATTATATCAACTGTGCTTGAGTTTATCCTACTCATTACTCACTGTAACAGTCGCTTAAACATGCTATTCTTGGTGAAGGCCCTGATTATATAGCCATTCATCATCCCCAAACTGCATTGATCGGCCAAGAGGCCGAGTCCACCGGACGTGGCAAGATGACTTCACCTCGCCAATGTGGCTACAGTACCAATGGTCCACCCGTTGTCCCGTGGTGATTCCGTTTGCACCAGGTGATCTTAGGCGGCTTCTCGCAGGGAGGAGCCACAGCAGTGTGAGCGCCCAGGGAGGATGGACAGTGGAGGTTGGACAGGATAGATCAGATGGGTTCAATTCATCAGTAGACACATGTGTTTGGTTCATGTGATCAAGTCCTTTGGGATGTTCAAATGTGTTGTTGAGTCATGGCAACCTGCACCACCTGGGGAAGAGCCAAACTCACAAGCGTTTCTCTTGGATGTGCATAGCCCCAATGGCATGGCCTTCTTGGGTGTTGACCGACTGTCCAATGGTTTTGTGCTGGGGTGTAATCCCTCTTCTCAGATCCATTCATTTGATGTCATTTGTGTGGATCAAACTTCAACACCAAGAGTCTTAAGAGAGTTCAGTTGGGGTACTGGACTGAAAATATTACCCACAACAACCCAACACATCATCTCACAACCAAGTTCGTCCTTTCAACAGAGAATGGTTCAGAAAGATCCGTTTGTTTGTTTGTTTGGTGTGGTCGGTTATGAATTCAACCTATTTGTACAGATCCAAGCAACTAGATTCATAAATCACCCAACCATTTTATGAAAGGTTTGTGGATTCCTATTTTCCAACTCTGAGGCTTTTGCCACTTTGTCTGGTGCTGCTCCTCCAGAGGCTCCTCGCTGGTCGCGTGTGGCCGTGCTGGTGAACTGAGTCCCCAAAAGGATGACTCCACAGCGGTCCAACTGCAACCTGTCACGTTGCTGTGAGTACCCGTTGAATGGCTTTGTAAACAAAAGATGTATATTTAATGATGCACCAGCTTTCCGAGGAAGACAGCAATAAGAAAGCGAAACAGCAGGAAAAACAGGGATTTCCAGGATTGGCTAAGGACATTTGATCAACTTTGGGAGATCAATAGAACTAACATCCATGTTTGGAGACATGGTACGAACAAGCTTTCTGAGTCGAAGAGGGCAGACAAAAGGCATAGAGAAATGTAGCATTACTTTTATCCTTCTATGTGGACACTTTAGAACCACTGCATGTTCAGCACATTCATGTTGTGTTGTGCCTAGCACTTGTTTTAGGACTTCCAACTTTATTGGTCCTTTTTCAAAACAGACAAGCAAGCAATTAGGCAGCGATGGATTTGTTGATATGCCAAGGAGGTCCAGTTCTTCCCATCTTGATTTATAGTCCCGACTTTTCTTTGGACATGAAAGATATATCCGGCAAGTCCCGCAAGGATCGGTTTGTCACTGCTGGTGACTTGGGTTGAATGTAATTGGTGATGGATGTTGAAGATCGTGCCTGGTTGATAGATGATGTCGATAGTTTCTTGGTGTGAGTTTGGAAAGAGGTACAAATGCAACACTTCGTGGCATCACAGGTATGCTTGAATCCAACGCAAACAACATGTGTGGTTCCTGCTGTTGAATAGTGTCATTGCTTCTGATTTAACAGTCACAGTTGGAGTGACAAAATAAAAAACGGAATACTTTGTGTTTTAACAGTTCTCATTTTAACCCATACTGGAAAGTAGCTCCCTGTGCTGATGAAAGACATCGCTAGTTATCATCAGGTTACCCCCGAAGTAATGGTGGTAGGTCTTCAGGGTTTGTACCAGAGGCCAGAGCATCTTCCTGCTGACACTCGATAGCTCAGGAATTGTGAAAGGATGCTTGCAAGAGGTATTAAATATGTAAGAGGGATAGATCCACCACAAACTACCGGACACAGTCAACCAATACCATGGTTTTGGGAGGTGTTTGGATTTGACTCACAGCTACGTTTGTGTCAAGATTGGAAGAAGTCAATGACTTGCACTACAGTTTCATGACATTTGAGGATTTGAGGGTATGGATTCTTGACCCACACGCAAGTGATCCAACATGCTGGAGCCTCAGTGAGAATCTTTGTGGTCTCATGAGACTTAAGTCGACCTTGCACTCATCATGCATCCATACTCCATACACTCGTCCTCAGCTGGAAATCGGATTTTTTGCAGAGATCCTCAAAGGATTCAGAGGAACCAGGAACCACTCTGGCTGAAGGAAGGAGGCTTGTTGTTCCCCGTCAAGCGGACTTTTTTGGGATACCAGACGATCAATCACGATACTTGCAGGTGCAAGAACGGCTCATTGCGCTGGTTCCCTGCTGCTGCGCCGTCGTGGATCTCAGCCGTCATGCATACAGACCGACTGCTTAGACCCCATCAATTGTAGATTCTATGTCATAAAATCGTATTAGAGGGATGATAGAACGTCCATTGATCTTCATGATCATGTGGGAGGTGACGGGGAACCCACGAAAACGAACTTTGACGATCTCAGACATATCATCTCAGCGACCTTCGCAAATCGACGTTTGCCGATCGCCGAAAGCCTCGCCGTGGAACTGGTTCCGGTTAATACGAGGTGAAGCAAACACACGAGGTTGATCTCCATGATTTGAGACTGTAGTGGATTTCATGGACATTCAGGAAAAGGATAATATCCAAACATCCCGAAACGCTGAAGATTGGACAGCAACCTCAGTAATCCTCAGTATCCGCTTGGATGAGTATCCGCTTGGATGGTGGTTTGGGATATCTCAGGTTGGACCCTCGACCCCTTCGTCACCGTCGTCACCTGGTTTCCGCCCCGACAGGTGCCTGGTTTCCAATTCTTGGCCTCGAAGATGCAGGTGAAGATGGGATCCTGAAAGACGCTGGGTGTTCTCATAGGGCAACTTTAACAGATGGAAACAGGTTGAACAGATGCTGTTCGCGATGCTTCAAGTCATGCAGAATAGATTGAACACACACATCTAAAGAGCAGACATGGTCTACTCGACCACACTTTCACGTCCATTCCCGAGTGAAGACTCACGAGTCACCGGCAAGGCTGCGTGCCTGCGGAGGAGAGACCTGCCGGAGGAATCGCCCTTTCCATCTGTGTGCGGGGCACCAGTGCGCGAAGTCCACCGACTGTGGCACTTCATCAAATAATTGTAGGAAAATCAGGGGCAAGTCCACCAACTGTTGGAGTCTTCAAAGTAGAAGCTGGGACATAACACGACCCTCTCAAACAGGACATGCTACGACCGTACCCATCTTGGGCACCAACTGTCATTGAGACTTCCAGAATCCTATTCCTATTCAGTGTTTCCACCTTGATCTTCCTTAGCGGCGCTGCCTGCCAAATATCAGAGTCACCACCAGTGCGCACACTTTGTATTTGTTCAGCCGCATACGCGGAGATATGGAGGCCACACCATCCATCTGAAACCCGGACAGGTGTGTCAATCACTGGAAGAAGATGACCTGGCGCTGTGTCACCATGTTCAAGATGGGGCCCATAAAACATTGCCGAATATCAACAGAATAAAATGGTGGGTAAGTGGGTAGGCGGGTACGGGCTTTGTTGATCAATTGATCATTGTAGATTCCACAACAAAGTAGAGGCATCACCAAATTTTGTGTTTGGAGAGTCTCAAGCCAAGAATGCCTGGGTGCTTTAAATATTTGGTTTTCCCTACCCTGACAGGGGACGGCACTTTGGTTAATAGCAGCCCAAAGCCAAACACGAGAAGCTGCAAGGCAATGAATGGCAAGCATGGATGGAGACATTGAGACCATTCTTGACAAACGTTGCATTCCGCTGCTGGGTGGATCAGATGGACGATCTGGACTTCGCGTAGCCACGAAGCAAGCTTTGGTTGTCATGTAGTACAGCAAATGGTGCTCCTCAATATGGCGTTGAACCCTTGTCCTGCTCCAAGCCTTTTGGAACTCTGACTCTAAGTGCTGTGACAGTGGATTTGCGGCTTGTCAGAATCTAGCGTCTCAGAGGTATTTGGAAACAACAAGAGCAGTCACAAGCAACAAAACATCAACGCAACCAACAGCCCGACATTTAGCGCGTCGCGCCAAAAATGGTGGAGAAAGATCACATCTTTCAGGTTCATGTCGCTTGGCGTCGACTGAGCGGAGCCCTGCGGACTGCTCGTAGGGTTGGGGAGACCCCTTCGGAGAGCGGGAGAACCTGGGACCAATGGGACCGCCAAACCTAATCCTGGGAGGTCTGCCGATTCCAATACAATCACATATAGTCAAGGGACCCAAGGCATTTGCTTGTTCTCTTTTTAACTTATGTGGCATCATTGTTTCCTTGACTTGTAGGAGGCTTGCTCTACCAGGAATTAAACGTTAGCATGTGAAGATCAACCTTGGAATATATAATTAAGTCCTTTGGACGCAGAGATGCCCGTTTGTGTTGATATGTGCTTGTTGAACTATGTTATATTGTATTGTATATTGTAACTGTATATTGTATTTATATATTATGCAATGCACATTGATTATATCTTAGACTCCAAAAGACCCATCAAGGTGGACATGGACTCGATGTCATTGTGTATGGGTATGACTTTTTGGAATATATACGACACGATTTGATCGACCTTTTTTAGCCAGTAAAATGCCATACTGTATATAATCAAATATCACTATACACCCGTGAGGATTCAGGCTAGTTGAATCAGGGGGAGTACTACATGCCTCACCTGCGGAGGAAGATAAAACCACGACGTCTTCAAGAACCACTTTATTTACAGTATGTGAAAGGCATTTGAGGATCCAGGTTTGCTTGGTGGTTTCCTGCTTTTTGCAACAAGCTCAGCCCCCAGTAGATTTGCTGTACATTGCCTTGTGTGCTGCCCGTTTCCAAACAGAACCTCATGTCCTGAAAGATGTTCTGATTTCGGAGCCACCTTTGAGCAAAAGGGTTTCCCGATGGAGACAAACAAATTGTCACCCAAGGTCGATGTGGCATGACTTTGTGTTGGGGAGCAATTGGTGTGTTTTTTTCTTGGCCAATGTTTGCTGCCAAAGGTACTGGCATGTTGCATCACTTTGGCCCTGCTGGTTTGCCACTTGGCGGAAGTGAACAGTCTCAGTGTTCTAACATTATATATGTCCCAACTCCCAACTCTTTCCATTCAAAACACAAAGACTCAGAACTTGGCAACTTGGAATGGATTGTGTTTCATTACAGTATTTTGTTACAGCAAGTAACGGCTGTATTGTTGGGTATTCCCATCATTCTTACTCATATCTCTTGCGTTCCTTGAAAGAATGTCCACTTACCTGCAACAAACGGTTAACGATGTGACGTCCACCCGACATCGCCCAGAGCATATCAGAGCACACCGGACCAGGAACACGCCGTCCCCGTTCCGCACACCGGATCAATCATCTGGGGTCAGCGCATTGGAAACTGAGGGAGGCCCTGAGACCAGCAAAAGCCTGTCTCACCCAGATCCATTCAGAGCATCCTTCCCCAGGGCGCAGCTGCTCCCGCGCGCGCCGTCACTCACGAAGCGCTGCTTCTCGGGGCGCGCCGGTGCCGCTGGCCTCGAGGGGGTTGGCACAGGAGAAGCGGTGCGGGGTCGTAGTGGTAGGTTCAGCTCCAGGTAGACAGTATGCCAGGATATGCCAGGGTCTCAGGCTGAGTCTCAGTTTTTTGACAGTTGGCCGGGCAATCTTTTTGTCAATGTGCCAGAATCTGGAGGGTCAAGAGTTGTGGTACGGTGGTGGTGCCATGGTGTGGTGGGGACATATTCGTGGTCCTGGTGGTGTGGAGTGGAGAATGAACATGCAGTCAATACAATATTGCCTTACCTAGGGCCTAGTGTTGCAAATGTCTCTGACGGCAGATCATGTATTTTCTGTAATGTTTTACACAAATGGCATTGGCAGCGGGAATATGCGGGAATGAAGGGTCATGAGACGATTGAGCATACGCACATGAAACGTGTCCTTAATAGACCCGACTTATCATTTCTCCGGTTGGAATGAAACCATCGGACCTGCAAAAGGGCTGGGGAACGATCGAACAAGTCTTGGAGTTTGGGGAGAAAGGCAATTCTTTTTAATGCACGTGTGGTGCCAGCGCTAATGAGTGACTACAACTGGTGCGTGAGACTGCCAACTGGTAGAGATGTTGTGACCGGATCACTACTTCAATCATTACGTGGGTGCATGACAGCAAGCTGCTCATCCTTGCAAGGGCAGCGATGCCCTTTGCTGCTCACCTTCACGTGCACAACACCTGCACGACCAAAGAAATGGTCAGATACTGGCCGGCTTCCCAATGGGGTTTTGCGGGAAGAACAAGAGAGGGGATGCCACCAGTGAATTGCACGTGGTCACACCATTTTCGCTCATTCCACCGGTTTGCTGGATGATGCCCATAAGAATGGCAGAATGCTGACCAGGTTTGGAGTGTTGATTGTTCCGGCCCGTTCAGGCGTTTGTCACTGGCTTGCGTAGTTGTTTATTTGGTGTGTAAGCTCGGCAGACTTCCTGGCGCCAATGAACACCTCACTCACTCCACACCTGCTTTGTGTCACTTGGAAGTGCCAAGTGTAGCACCAGGCCTCCTTTTCCTCTCTCGCCGCATCATCCAATGGACCTCCTCACTAAATGAACATCTTCAGGAGACAAAATTTCACGACTACAATTGCCCCTTCAGATACTTCCAATGCTGAGTTGACTCACTGCGCAGGCATTGGTCGAGGCAGCAAGTATCAGCAAGTCAGAGTTGTGGGATTTGTGTTCACCAGCCCTTGGGATCCATAGGACTTTTGCCATGGGGTTGCAGCTCCATCCAGCGGTTGCTTCAGGTCCAGCCCAAAAAACACACAGGATTTAGCTGTCGTTTCCAAGCAAAACATGAACAAGGGATGTGAGCTTCCGCAGGATCCCTACTTTCAAAGCCGACCGTGATCCTTTAACACGCAGCTGATCGTAGCAGTTTGCCCACACCTGGATGACCAAAGAAAGCCGTGCTTTGGAGGCCAACAAATGGTTTATAATGGTTTATATAATTGTGGGGGATGTTGCGTGTTGTTCTTTCAACATGTCCAATAAAAACTAAGAACGTTTATATTCCCCCATGAATGTTTCCGCGTGAAGGAACAGAGCCATGCTTGAGTCGACTCCAAGTCGCCAGGACTTGGCACGAGAAGCCTTGAACCGAGAGAGAGAACAGCGTTCCGCTGTCGCCCTGCAGCCGTGACCAGACGAAATTGGTGAACGTCCCTGTCGAGCAAATTCGGACCCAAAAGACCTCCGAAACATCCACGGGAAGCCAATAGGAAGTCCAATAGGGTCGAATTGACCAGACCAGTCCAAAAACGGCACTGTGATGGCATGAATATTTGGAATCAATCGATATGCACTGCAACTCATGTTCACATTGAATGCAATATGATGGCATGACCCCAAATGGTAAAGGAACTGGTCTTACAATGATTCAATGGGTCCCTACCATTTGGAGAGAGTATCTTCGCAATGTTGACAACCCTGGAAATTGACCAGACGATTGTCCTCAGCAAACCCATTGAAACACCTAGCCCAAAGCACATCTTGGGCCTTTGGACGGGGCCTAAGCTTCGGACCTAAGTGTGGGCATGCATTTGGTGTCCTCACCAGTGTTAGAATCTTGTTGTCCGTATCCAGGCTTCTTCACTGTTGAATATTAGGGACAGGTAGCAGGGAGGGAGGACAAAGACATTGCACATGACATCTGCTATGTTGACTAAACTCTGGGTTTCAAGGCTGTTTGCAAGGACTTTTGCTAGCGTTGATTGCAGAGGCTTTCTCGACCAGGGTCGTCAGAATGTACAGACCATTGCAACCTGACTGGCCAAGAGCGGTTGCCGTTTCGACTCATGACGAATGAGAGTCCCCGCTGTCGAACCAAGACACCAAGACAGGATCGAACCCATTCGCGAAGCTGGGCGGCACCAAGGCAGTATCCGCGCCATGAACTTCTCCAAAGGAGCGGTCGAAGTGGTCGGATGTGACACTGGATCCGAGTTGACCATAAAAGGTCATCAGCAAGCCAGACACTAATTACGATCTAATTACATCTAATTACGTAGGATTTTACAGTACTAAACATTTTACGCTTTCCTTGGGAGATGATGCCTCCTTCAGAGATTATTCATTCCAGGTCTCTCCTCTCTACTTCTCAGACTTATCGATGACTTCAGATTCACTCGGCCTGTCTCATCAGGCTTTGGCGCGGTGTGGCCCCCACGGTGCCCAAGGGGGGCCAAAGTCTTTTACCACTGGAGGCGATGGATGGATGTGGTTGCCACATGTTTCCACAATGGGCGAGATGGCGCGGGTGCCATACAAAAATGCACGAGTTTCCATCTCCAGATGTGGGTCAAGATTCTTTGGGTCCAAAATGGCCTTGATAGAAAGGGACACCATGTCCTGTGGTACGCTAGGTCTGAGCCACATCCAGATCTCGGTAGGGCCGGAGTTCAACACATCCTTAGGTTGACCAAAGCATTGGCCCTTTAAGCAACCTTGTTTGGGTGATTGTTGCAGCATTGGAGCATTTCCATGCACTTGGCCAGATATAGTGTGTTTGTTGGTCTCCCAGCTGCGCACCGACTGAAAAACTGGAAATACGAAAGTCACACAAACAGTCTCCCTGAGAGGCGTCAACAAACTTTCTGAAGGTGAACTTGTGCGTGGCCTTCAGCGGTTGGTTGCTGTTCCTCAGGCCCCAGAGCAGAGCGGGCCCTCCACCTGGTGGCCGGAACTGGAGCATCTCTTCAGAGGCGAAAACGTCGCCGGACGTCGCAGGGGGTTGGGTTGCATCAGAGGCCGATTTCACCACCAGTTGGGACATGTTGGGACCATTCTTGGATAGTCTTGGCTTGGTAAACTACTGTAAATGAATGTGCTGTGGCATGCTGGCATTGGTCGAAATGAGAGGTCCAAAACTCATCAAAACTCCATGTCGTCACGTGAGCATACTTGACAAACGATGACACTGCCAAAGTTCTGAGTTTGGTCTCTCCATATTCAGCGTTGTATGCATCGCCGGGAGCTGCAAGTCCTCCTCCCACGGGTGGAAGATACATCTCCCTACAACTGAATTGACTGCGTTTTGAGTGTCGTACAGCAACTCCCTACATAGGTAAAGGAACGGGTGTTAGAAAATAACTACTGCCCTGGGGCCCTGTAGTTCATTGAATCATGAGTTACTGCAAAATGCTGGTCGATAAGTAGGTGAGGTGCTTAGATGCTGTTGGTTGATTCATGCGAGAAAGTTATAAAAAGTGTTTTGTCGATTGACATGTTCCCGAAGTCGTTCAAGTTGGATGCACGCAGTGCACAGACTGTCCAATGTGAATGGATCAGAGATGAACATCAATGTTCACAAGCTCCATACACATGGTTGTAAGATGTTTAAGAGGAGCGAGTGTTGACTAATTAATAGCCTAATTAATAGTATAGTTAAATTGAATGTCGACCATTTGTTGGATTAAGTTTGGTCGTGGGCCTTTCGCCAACCAGTACGAATGTTCGTCGTTGATCTGTGTTCGCCTCAAAAGGAGGAAACCACCATTTACAGCGTTTTGTTGTCTAAAATCTGAAGCTGCAAACCTATCGTGCCATGTTTCAACTCCTGTCCCATTTGGGAACAACTCACCCACATCACGGAAACTGGCATGCCTCAACCCCGACGGCACCAGGCACTTGTGTTTGGCCCGTTTGTCTTTTTTCCAACAAAAACATCGTTCTCGGGGCGGGCGTCAGGCGGTGGAAATTTTTGTAATGCAGTGCGGATACCAAACAGAGACACGTCCCAAAAAGAAACACAAACCACGGACGAAACTGCGCAAAAGGGCAAAATTATGTGAAACGGTTTTGTGTTGCGCTACTGAGGTCCAAAGTGGCAGGCAAACCCATGATCATGAATGGGCATTTTTTGCAGAAAACGTCTAAAACTACATCCAGCAACATAAATTTGTTGAGTTTCAGAAAAAGACAATAATTTTTCATATATTTATTTGGGTGTCTTTATAGGTATGCCTTATGCTTTTTGCTCCCTCGCAGGAGACGCGAAGTCAGCCGAAGATGCAGCGGTGCCGATTGGTGCCGATGCCCAGGACGAAGCGTGGTCGTCCGCGCTCGTCCAGAGGACGGATGGATTCAGCAGATTTCACAATCATGTGTGTTCCCAGAAACCGAACATTGGGCCTGGTGATTTAGTTCGTGTTAAAAATGTTTGGACCAGCCCCGACATGATGACTGGGCCAGACAGATTCAAGCTGCTACTGTCGAAGTAACAATCTCTCTCATACATCGAGCACCTTCAAACATCCTTGACAAATCTTGAGTGGAAGCAAAAATTGGACGAAGTACTGATACAAGGATGGAGGAAACGGACAAATATATTATACAGTCGTGTCAGGGTTGGTTTGGGCTTTGGGGGTATTTCATGACAATAGCCAATAGCCTCCCCCGTGCTCCTAAACACAAACAACTCAAGGCAGACCTCAAGGTTTTTCCCGCTGGTGAATGACTTGCGCAGTCAAGAAACATAAACAAACGAGTCTTTACTTGCAGTTTGTACTTGCTAAGAGGGACGTTAAGGGAGCTGTTGCCATGCCAGATTTCTTGATCCAAATTCAGGAGTTGTTGACACGGGCTTTGGCTTTGCTTGAGGCCTGTCAGGATCCATCTAGGCGGGCGAGAGAAGAGGGTCCAAAGAGCGGACTGGGTGTGCGGAAACATCTGAGAAAGTTCCACTAGATGGGTGTTGCTGAAGCTTGTAATTCCAACTCATTCCAACTATTCGGGGAAGGCGAATTGGCGAACTCGTTGCACAACGCCATGCTAATGCTAGGTGCGCTCTATCATTTTAAGGACCAACAGCATCCCATCCTGCACACCAAGCCGTGAGCTTCACATAGGGTCCATGTCAATCTGTGTTCATACAAATACAATGATCAAGCTGGACAAATAGGCTCCCAGGCCCGGATGTCGTCTCATCAGCCATCACGATGGAGGCATCAGGGATTTGATGGGATGAGCATTCGGTGTGTACTGCAGCCGCTTGGCCAGTCGGGGGTCCGACAGATGCAAGGCTTTGGTCACGATCCATACCACACGCCGTCAGGCATCGGCATAGGTTGTTGTCAAACTTCGGACGGGCAATTCTTCGGCCTTCAGAGTGTTTGACGAGGGTCTCCTGGCCTCTTGGACACACGACAACCTGCCAAAGAAAAATCATCGTGAGCTTGTATACTACAGCCTGGACTAAAGGCCCTAGGTACAACTCGGGCAGTGTTGTCCAAGGTGTCAGAAAGATCTAGAAAGACTTCCATGGTGAATTGCCTTGGCTTTGGAGACTGGATTGACTCGCCCAGGAAGCCACCAAATTTGGTTTGGTTCGCCGACACCACTGGGAATCCACTGCCCGTGGTGATTTCCGAGACGGTGGCTTTGGTGCCAGAAGTGATAGCGGCTTTGTGGAGGTGTAGCGAAGCATCAAGGATGAAATTCAAGATATCCTTTGCTAGACAGAAATAGTCATGTTGGGTTGTCCAGTGGTGTTCCGTGTATTTATTTGGTTGGGTTGTAGAGTCCAGGGATAGACTATCATAGAAATTTACTTAATCTATATAAGACTCTAAGAGCTTGGATTCCAACATTGACGTCGCATTCTGAAGGTGTTCAGATCTTAGAGGCCCCAACCTATTGCCTTTGCTAGTATATTAAGACACATCCTGTTGGGAAGTGTACTGTTTGCTTTTGACTTGGGAAGTGTACAATCTAATTTTGTCTCTTTCGATTGCTGTCAGAAGTTCCTTCAAGGTCAACCAGTTTGGGTCCTTGTCCATTCCCCACAGAATTCCTCTAAGAGCGGGATGTAATGGGATATATATATAACTATGTTATAATTACATAGACGTCCCTCAGAAAATGAGAAGTATTCCAATCCATTCACCTTTCGATCTACCTGAACCCTCAGTTTGTGCTAGAAACGGGGCTGGTCATCCCACTTTTTTGAAACGCCCAGGTCATCCAGACGCCCAACGAACTTCCCATTGATGCCGTGGTGTGGGCGATGTACTCACCGACAGAGCGCTTGCAATGGGACAAGAGCCCCTGGGTGGCGCATGAGATTCTATATTCTGGACACTTGGTCACTCTAAAGCAGCCCGTTCTTTTGTGGAAGAGGTCACCAGTATTCACCAGTCACCAGACCTTGAAGAAGAATGCCAGATTGGTGGCTTTTGCAAAGATCCATAAAACATTATAAACCATATCAAGACATATCAAAACTAGTATTAGAGGCTTATAGATATTCTTTTTAACCTGGTAACTGGTAGACTATATAAATAGAAAGTTTACTCCTGCTGGAAAATCCCATGTCCGAGAGTCCTCTTTCCATCTCTCCTTACACCGAGCCTCACCTTGCCTCCTGCCAAGGAGGTGTCATGGACAGTGGAGCTGTGCGCGATATCTTGTATTCGCGGGTCAGCATTGCACCTGGCATCAGTGACCATGCAGACAGAGCTTTCAAAACCGAAAGGGGTGTGGGTTCAAGCTCAGAGTGGGGTTGCACCAAGAGTTCTGACAGGTGTAGAATTGTAGAACAGGTTCTGACAACAGGGAATATTCTGACATTTCACGTCTCCTGTATCGCAAGTGGTGCAGGATTCTTCCGTCAACGAAAGGATTCATGTGGGTGAGAGAAAACATGAGAAAACACATGCACGGTATCTCGAAACCAGCACTGTACCGGGGAGAATCCAGCGAGAAACATGAAGCCTTTACTGAGGCCGATTCTTGGGCTTCAGGGTTGAAGTGAAGGTCCATCAACCCAAGGGATTAGTTGCTGCGTTGGATTAGTGAACAGTTGATGCGTGCTGAACCAGTTTTTAACGACCTGTCTCGCATTGGTTCCCAGTTCTTTAGGAGTGACAATGCTGCGTTCCTACAACCGGTTTGGAGTGCTTTGGCTTAGGAAGCAGCCATTTTAACATACTTTAACCACCCTTTCCCAACTGGCCAGGTAATTAGCGCACAACCCACGGTTCCATGATGGCTTCCTCAAGACACATCAAAGACTTTGACACACTCTAGCCTAGAGTCATCTCGATCAGAATATCCGTAGTCATTTGAACCGGCCAAGAGACCGACCTCCTTCCTGGCCGCCAAAGCCGACCGGAAACGACTTCGGCTGTCCAAGGCGATCGAGATTTAATTCAGGAGCGCTTCCTGATGAAGCTCCCTGAGGAGTGCCCCGGTTGACTTGGAACATGTCCACACAAGAATACGTTTCGGGAAATCGTTCCAGATTCTATCGACTAAGTTCCTTTTTTCTGCGCACATTCGCGAAAGTAGTGTTCCAGAACAGCTGCATGTGTGATGGAATGGACTGGAAGCTGATGTGGCGGACTCGTGGCCAAATCGTGGGCGGATCCTGCCGCATGCTGCTTTGCTTCCTGGAGTCATAAGTTATAAGCTTTTGAACTGAGGCAAGGTGATGGCTATGCAATTCTTATGTGTGCCTCCGTCTTGAATTGGATCGCTACTGTCCACACAATAGGACCACCCATTCTCTTGGAAGATCATGGAATCCTTTCCTCACAGCCAGATGGCTCTCACAGGCAATTGTTGGCCACAAGGGGACATACGTTTACTGTACCTTTGGTATCCTTTGGTGTCTATGTGTCACGCCTGTGTCACACTTGTATCGCTCTTTCATGGCGGCATCCAACAGGCTTGCATCGTCCACCGTTTTGGAATGTGGGGGTCGAGGGACACAAGTTGAACACTATGATGACCATGGAGCCTTTGATCAGAAGGAGATCCCGAGCCGGTCAAGGAAACATGAAGTATCCAGAGGATTTTCTTGCAACAACATCAGGACATCAGCAGAATACAAACTTTATCAAGCTTCCAACATCCGCACCAGAAGGTGATGATGAGGTTTACTCGAGGTTTTAACAGCAAGGTGATGATGAGAGCTTCGCATCAAAATAGAAACTCCATGCCATGAGTGCAAAAACAGTATCTCTCAAGATATCTGACGAACTGCATGGTCATGGTTCAAAATTGTCATTTTTGCATCAAACACGCCTTCCATCTCTATTTCTTTGCTGAGGTTCTTGCTCCGATGAGCTGGCTGCGACCTTGGGGCGACCAGCAGACACTTCGAGTTCCACCGTGGTCCGCAGCAAGGACCTCCTCTCCGCCGCTCGACTGCTTGGATCACCCTGGTTGATTGCTTCCCCTGGAAAGTGAACATAATGAACCAAAACATAGCCTACTATAGCTATCAGAGGTTAACCGATCTTTTTTGGAAGGGGGATTCAATGGTTTGCTTTCGCATCAGCCCAGGCAGGTCCTACTTAGAGTTGGGACCTGTCGCGGTTCTGCTCGGAGCTTGGCATATCCTAGGCCTACATCCTTCGACCCCGGGAAGCACGCGGGAGCTTTTGCTTGCAGACGCTGTCACAGAAAGATGTTGGCAGTGACTTGGTGCGAGGAGGGATGTTAAACAATATATGTTCGAAAACAGCGCAGAGTGTGATGGGAGCACGCAGCTAGTCAGGTGTCGGACCTTCATAGAGAGGGGTGCAGATTCGAACGGATCCTGGACTTGGAGGTCCCTGGTCGTCCTAGCCGGTTTTTTGGGGGGAGCGGGGAGCGTTTAACATTTAGCGCACAACCAGCGGCATGTTTCAAACGCTGCCAAGCCGCCCAAAGTGCGGAGTTGGCTATTTTGCGAGATTCCCTTTGCTTCCCTCAATGATGGCCCATCAGTGTCACTAGATACACAACTGCCATACGCATCCATACGCTCCCAAAAGGAAGTAATTACCGTCGAAACACTACTCATGCTGAAGTGAGGCTGCATTTTGAGACAGATGACATCCTCTCAAGTGGACACTGATCGAAGCAATCTCCGTCGAGAACGCAGCCGCCCAGGTCATGTACCATCCTTCCTGCAGCACATGGCCCGCAGCGTAGGGAAGCGGAAGCCCTTGGAGATGGCGATGCAGCTTCAGAGCCACTGCGAGCAGCGCCAAGGTTATGGTGCAGGCGTGAAAAAAGCGACCACCGCAGCAGCGGCAACGCCGTACCAAAGGACATGGGGCATCAATGTTGAAATGCAGACAGCTCGAGGATGAAGCCAATAGATTTGAGGAAGCTGCAAAGTATTGCAAAGCAATAGACTGAAGCATCAGTACTGTTGAGGGACCCAGAATGGGCATGCTACCACTGAGTCTTTGGCTGTTGCTGTTTTGCTGTTTCCATTTTTGTCTCAACAACATCCCCTGGGCACCAGAAGAGGGCAGATGGTCGAATTGGAATCGTTGGCTATAGATTAAATTAGCTTATATAACGATGCAATGGGGGCCGAATAGCCTTGTGGATGAGTTTCCTCAAACGGATCTGTTGTTGGGAGCTCAGGTGGGTATCACACGGAATCAGAGCCCCGAGAGTTTCACCCACAGCCATATGTGGAGTAGCTCCAGACGTTGCATCCTTTTTTGCAGCAAAGGTGGAACAATCACTGCCAACCTGAGGCACTTGATGTACTGCCGGAACGATTTGGAGGCTGGGTGCACTGGGATCTTAAGATTGTATTAGTTATATAATTACTCATGATTGTGTGGAAGTTTGTGGTATGTTGAGCCAACCCCGGGCTGTCTATAGGGTAGGTCATCAATTGCACACTTACAGTAAATTGATTGTTTCCCTCATATTGGCCATGTGAAGTAAACTATCAGATCTCATTCGGACCCAAATAGTAGACTTAGAGGAACATGCTTTGCATCCGTTAATTGCTGGAGACCGCAGCTTGGTTCTTTAAATGGGGGACCTTATCCTTTGCCGTGTTATATAGTGCCTCTCTTAAGAGAGAACTGGTGACAGACTACTTCCCCAAGCCGAGGCCGGACGGAATCTCAGATCTGACTGATCTCAAGAGAAATCCACAAAGCGGTTGGCCACAAAGGTGGTTGCCAACTGCTCACGATGAATGCGGTGCGGTGGAAGGTTTTATCTTTACATATCTTTACCCTGCCCTGGGTGCGACATTGTTTTGGTAGTAACCCAATGGAGGAATGACCTTCATCAACAAACACAATAGGAGAACTTGGATTGGGATTCGGATTTCTTCAAATCTCATTTGCACAGGTGTCTGACCACTATGTCCAGACCATTCTGGGGCTTTGCAACAGGCCAGGCCTCTCCGTGGGAGTCGTGGGAGGGCAAGGCCTTGCATACAATGTCTCCTTTTCAGGTAGATGGGTGGGTGCAGAGTTCCTGCCTCATTGTGGAAAAAAGCGGTATCCCCTCCCCAACAGCAGTGTTCAAGGGAAATGTCGATAGTGCCAGGAGCTACTAGTAGCTTCTTGCTGCTATGTAGTAGCAATGGCCTCCACCCTAGTAGTGATGGCTGTTCAAGGGGATTTTTTCAAAGCCAGTGGATGTGGTCCCTTCCATACTCAAATCATCTCAGTTTGGAGGACCTGCAAGGTCTACTTCCCGTTGTTTGAGCCGATCAACCAGGTTCGAGCATGCAGCCCAGTTACAAAGCTTTGAGGTGAACATCCAGGAGACGTGTGTTTGGAAATGCGTTCTTGTGGGAGAGGGGCCAGAGAAACATTGAATGATGTTGCATGTTTTTCACATAAGAAGCTACTAGTAACAAGTGCATCGCTACTAGTAGTAACAAGAAGCTAATAGAAACAATTAGCTACTACTAACAAGTGCATCGCTACTAGTAACAAGTGCCTTACTAGTAGTACAGTAACAAGAAGCTACTAGTAACAAGTGCATCGCTACTAGTAACAAGTGCCTTACTAGTAAAAACAAGAAGCTACTAGTAACATTCACATATAGCCCACGCGCGAGATGCTCTTCAGGAGCAGCTTCCTGGGGGGCCACGACCTGTGCCTGGAAGACCCGATGTGTGGTGGCCACGTCTAGTGACGCAGGCACGGCTCTCTTGAAGGAGGAAGAACTGCGGCCTGAGTCTCTAAGGAAAGGATTTTGGAATACATTCTCTTTGCCGGCCTTTGCCAGTTTTATTGTTGCTTTAAATACATGTTACATGTCCTAGTGATTGATTCATTCATGGATTGATTGTTGCAGGACCACGAGCCTAGATGCTCAATAAAGCGTGAAAGGCTGTGATTTGGGTGTCAATCCGTACATGTTGGTAAAGTTTGCTGGACACCAGCTGATCTAAATTGTCATATATTGACTGGTTCTGTCAGAAGGAATACCTCTCTGAGTTTCAAGAGCAACACGTCCTCACAAAACAGACCCACTTTCAAGACTGCTGGTTCAGATCTTGATCCCACAGCATATTCTGAGCCAACAGTTTCGAGGGCGTGTGCTCCAAGAAGACATCAAACCTCTACACCAAATTAGCCGATTCGGCGAGAATTCTGGTGGCTGGAGCAGCATCACCAGGTAATAACATGTATATAATAATCATAAGAATGCATCCACATATTATGCAACTGCTCTGAGGGTTTGTCAAATTGGTCTTCAGCTATTTTTTGGGACTGTAGGATTTAGGGTGTGGTGGGATGTTGTGGGCCCTAAACAGGAAGAGTCACGACCCTCACAATGACACTCCAAGCACATCACATGACACTCCATCGCCCGAGTGACATGTCCCAGAAAGGCAGCTGGACTTCGATTTATGTTTTCGGCGGGAGGCACTGAAGGCAGCAAGCCGCTGAGTTGGGCGAGGCTTCCCGATGCGGATCCCTGAAGCCGGCGAATTGGGCCATCAGTATAATTGGGGTCAATGCCAAAGGCGGTCGGAAAGAAGAACGTAGACACTGGAAGAGCCCTGATGATCCCCGCGGTTTGATGAATTGCCACCCGATAGGAGGCTGATCTTCAAGCAAGAGATTTCCCTGTGCCTGTGACTTCTATGGATCGGAACGGTGGCGGTTCCGTTTTCCTATGATTTTCTGGTGTTTGACACGGACTGCAAGGATGCTAGGGATACTTTCTTGGAAATGCACGAGTCTGACTGCATGTTTGATCGTCGTTCCACTATTTGTCAAAGTCATTCAGGTGTTGATCTTTCCATAATGTTTTAAGGACACATCCTGCAAATCACATAGTCCACCTGAGATGGGGTTCCCCAGTACAGGAGATCTGCCAAACGTACTGTGCGACATGAGGGTTATCCAGATGTCCTTCCTCAATTGAAGTGCTTCATGGTCGGAAGCACCATGAAGTGCCTTTTGTTCGACAGCCGCTGGATTTCTAGGTGTCCATCTTCAAGCCCGAACCGTGAAAGCAGGCGGATAGTACTGCTGCCACCAAGAAGCGTGGCAACAGAATCTGAGGAAAAAAGCATGCAAAGTATATACAGTAGGTGTGTTGTACGTCATGTGACAATATGTGACATGCGGTATTCCACAAGCAGTCTTGCGGATCTTGATTCCAACACATGCTGATTATGGTGCATCACCACAGGAATCAGTAGGAGTTGTAAGCCTTGGTCAGAAACAGAGTATTTGGTATGTATATATTCAGCATTTTTGAAGGTGGCATTCCTGACTTCAGTACTCAGTACTTGTGGCAGTTTGCGAGTTTGGATGAGATCTTTCAGGTCACAGGTGAGTTGGCAAGCTCCAACATCCGCTCCAATGTGGCCCAAGCGCGCGTGGCGTGCGTGGCGCGTTTTGTTGGATCTGACACCTCGCCGAATGGGACCGTCCAGGGGATCGCCGCAGCTGGGCAACCGGAGCGGCCAGATTTGGGTTGGAGGCGGCAAACATTTCCCCCCAAACCCGAGGCTTTTGCTGCTTTACTCACTTTAATCCATCGAAAGACATACGTTTGTTTTTAATGATTTGATGTTTGTGTTACCGAACGTCATTTTTGTCTGTTTCTTTATTTTTTTGGTGTGTGTGGGAAGGGTTGTTGATCATCTCTAGTTCGATGCAGAGATGCAGAGATTGATGTCCTTCTGAATGTCCTTTGCAGAGATTGATTCAAGGGTTGTTAATGCGGAGATGCAGAAATCCTTCGGTTTGTTGGAGATTCGATCCTCGTGTCATTCTGGGAGCATTATAATGGGAAACCAGGTGCTGGGTTGTTGGTTTGAATGATGGAGCAACACTGATGATTGTGGTGATGATGCTGCTGATGTTGAATGGCAAAGCTGCAATCCAAGCTCACAACATGTCTACTCCAGACTATATACAGTAGGCACCAAGATATCAAGATAGCGTTCTTTTGTTCACATATCCATGTTCTTGTTAAACGCTAACATACGCTAACTAACACCGACGTCGTGTTGCCTGCTATCCCCCAAAACACGGGATGTCAAAGTGTGTCTCCATGGCCACCTTCCACGCCCATTGGGTCTGAGGCCATGGCAGAGGCACGCAGGGCAGGGGTGAAATGAGTGTTTGGGCGATTCTTTGCCATAGACAGAAGAATGTTCCAAATCCAAAACATAAGGAAATAATCAAACTGCGACTGTTCAGTTGGTGGACTAGGGTTTTGGACCCTTGACAATTTAGAAGACTGATTTGGGTCTGAACATAGATATTACATAAACTATTACTGTATATACTCAAAGTTTTAGAGTCTTAGACTTAGAGTCTTAGAGTCTTAGTCTGCTCATGGAGTGCGTGGAGTCCAGAGGGGTGTGTGCATTGTTTTTTAGCTCAAGGGTCCTGTCCCCGTTTCTACGGTGATTCTAGTTTGTTCCAATAATTACTCCGGATTGCGGATGACCAGTTTACGGATTCTTCGCTAATGTGTTTGGTACAGTGTAGTGATTGGGAGCCTCACTTCCTGCAACTCAGTCAACCCTTCTCTTACGTTCCGCAGGCCAAGACCATGATGCTGGCCTCCCTGCAAGGTGCGGATGCGTACGGGAGGGTACAGAGGGCTGTGGAAAACGGTCTACGGAGTCTACGGTCTACTTGCTCCAGTGAAAACATCCAAAGGGGGCCAAATCCCCAAACTCTTGGCGGCTTGATGTCGCAACTGGTCGGTTACTTGTTCAATTTGCCTGACATCGTTTTTGGGCCTGCGGGATCACTCAAGACTGAATGTCAAGTTGATGGAGAAACATGGTCAAAGTGGATCTCTTTTCACTTCGACGTACTGAGTACTGTCGGATGTGGAACAACTCTTGGTGGCTGATTCTCAACCGTCTCACGCTCGATTCAATCAGGTGCTTTGAGGAAGAGATGTTTTCTCTACATTTCATCAAGCTATCTTCCACACACCACAGCGGTTCAAGCTGGTTGGAGCAGGAAACAGTTTTCATGCGCAGGAGCTGCTGGCAATGGCCCCCGAATCCTTACCCTTGTTCGCAACTTTGCTGCAAGGATTGCTTTTGTACTTGACACACACCTGGTAGGTGCTGTGGCATTGACACATGACCTCCTTGCCAGGTAGCATTTAACAAGAACATGGCTCTCTTGATAGCAGAAGACCCTCAGACACTGAGGTGTCTTCCTTGCCGGTGACTTGGGGGTTTCCATTCGAAACACATGCGGCCCCTGGCAAGGCAAACAAGAAGTTCCCATGTTGGAGGTTATGCTAGCTCGATTAAAGCAAGCTGACTAATTCCAGAGAGACTTGCAAACCGCGTGGGAGGGTTCACCGTGAATGATATAAACCAAGCAAGCAAGCAGGCAAGCACGCACGCAAGGAAGCAAGCAAGCCTGCAGGCGTTCCCATAGGTTGTGACTTGAATTGTGATGTTCGTACAGGCCATCAAAAGCTGTGCAAGCGGTGATCTACGCTTGTCCTACCTGTCTCCGTCCCCATTCCTCTTTGTTTCACCTGTCCACGACGAAGATCCATGCTAGACTCTTGATCCTGCTCATTCCAGGTTAATTCCCGGGATCAGTTCAATGAGTTCACTGCCTGGACACGACCATATTATTAATTGCAAAGATAACATCATTACATTATGGACTATGAACCACTTCCTACCTTCACCTAGTGCGCTCACTCTGGACTCTCAGGCAAAGCAGAGCAAAGCCTGGGCTCCAGGCGTGAGCTTTGCAACATCTATTCCGCTGCCATCGAGGCCTATCAGTGCCCCAAGGTGTGGGGGCAGTCAAGATGATTTTTGCCACGGAGGGTTCGGTGCATGGGGCCATTTGTTGGGGAGCACTACTTTGAAAGGTGGGGTTGAGCGGGAGACTTTGAAACGAAGCGCCAGGGGAAAAAGCATTCACCAAAACCAAAACCTTTCACTTACTGTAACTAGTTTCAGTGAATTCTGGCACACGTGCACAAACCCTCATGGATAAGCAAACAGTGGCATCTCGTGGCTGTTGGGAAATCGAGGAAGATCCGTATATAGATGGTTTTTGAGATGAACAGGGTCCTTGGTCTCAGTACATGTCTTCGTCTTCAACAAGGTGTCGGAGATGAGGGTCATGTCCTTTTGGTGCATGTGCGGTTTCCTGGAAGGGGTACACGAGCTCGTCTCGAAAACTGTCCTTTTGGTAATGAAGCAGGGTAGTGGATGATTTGGTGGAAGTTGTGGACCATCGATGTAGATAGAGGGCAATAGAAAATAGAAACACAGACGTTCTAAGTGTTTGCTTTTTTGAAAGACAGGACATTCTTTTCCAAGTAAAGTGATGGCTCATGCCGGTGCATGTTTCCTGTGGCCGATGCAGGTTGCGACATGTAGATGCAGCATGAGTCAATTCTCCAAAAAGATGACGGGGGACATCTCCTCATCATTTCACGTAGGAACATATTTCACGGACTTGATTCGACTGGAACTGCGGTCACATGAAAGCACACAGGCCCAGAAAGGTTTCAACCATCTTCAACCCCTGCAAAAGTGGGTTTTGTAGTGTTGTCTTCGACCTGCGATGGTCGGACAGTCTGTTCTGCAAGGCAGTGGAAGACGAGGCCTACCGGGAGCTTTGTGTGAAGTATCCTGGAGATGAATTCAAGTGTTCAGAGTTGATTGCACCTTCTGAAGGTCTATGACTTTGAGTCTTATTGTCGTAAAATAAAGTTACATAAATCATTGTAAATATGTGTTTCTTATTTGGATAACCCCATCGAAAGATATTGGAAGATCGTTCACTTTATTCACTTTTGGATCTAGTGCCTTTGCAGCCGCCCTTGCAGCTGAACGAACCACATGGGTGCAGCAGCTGACCGGAAAATGGACTCTCCTGGTCGGGTGGATGGACGTTGTCAAATTTGCATACATTTGCACCAAATACAAAAGAAGGTTAGACCCTGGGCAATTATAACAAATGCTTATACAACTAGAGGTGACCACGAGTTTCTTTGGTATTATTCTGTTAAATTCTGCAGTTTTGCCAGTTAGACTTCTTCGACACTGCTGAAGCTCCCTCCCAAATCAGTGCTTTGACACATTTTTTAAGTAACACATGGTGCCCATACTAATATGTATAGTTGTTTCCACGTTTGCTGCCCTAGTTTTTGAGCATCCAAGCTTTTGCAAGGTACATGCTCGAGCTTTGCCATGTGGATGTGAACGAAGCACGAGAGTTCCACAACCGTCAGAGAGCCTTCGGCTGCTCGTCCGCACTGAAACTATGAACTAGAAATAACTAGAAGGATCTAGAAGGTATCTTCGCCTCAGTCATTCGAAGATGTCTTCAACTGGAGGATCCTTTGCTTGCTGGGTTCGGTGCAGAGGATGTGGACCCCCATTCTGCCTTGCACAAATGCTCGAAAATGAGTCCAGGCTCCAGGTAGAAAGAGACAAGCATCTTGGCAGGTCCTGGTCAATTCTGTTCATGTGTCTTTTTTTCCTGGCTCGGAGTGTTTAATTAAGGTTCGGACATTTTACCTACTAATTCCCACTGGGCTCTTTGCGAGGCACAGGGGATCCTCCCGCATTCGCGACATGAGGTGTGAACAGCGATGCTCGCATGTATCACGCGCGAGCGACACTGGAGGAACGTCACTTGGATGTTCAGCTGGGCAGGGCGATGGGTAGGGGCGGTAGATGTTCACTGTTGGAGGCTGCTGAAGCGGAAGGACATGGACAGTATTTGACATTTGATTTCCGATTTTCAAGCGCAGGTTGTAGTTATGAATATCATCGAATGACTCTTCTGGGTGAGGGTCACATTCCACGTTCAATGATAGGTGTTTGTGTGTGTTTCCAGCCAGCTTGGAAGGGTGAAGAGAGCTTTTTGGTGATCCTATAGCTTGGTAACCCACTCACAAATGTGGTTCTATAGGTGAACCCGATAATCCCCATTACCTGTTTAGAGCACTCCCCAATTAAAGAAACTCCATGCAGGAACCCTTGAATCGAATGTAATTAGCTTTTAGATTATTACCGTGAGCGCTTGAGCCTGTGCTAATTCGCAGCTGTCACCTTCAGCGCTTTTAAGTGAGAAAGACAGGGTGTCACCACCATGTGGCCAGGTGTCAACACCGTGCACCCACACACTAGTAGTGATGCCCTTTGTTACTAGTAGACTAGTAGCTTAAGTTAAGTTCTTGTTCCGAGTAAGGCCAGGAGCTACTAGTAGCGATGCCCTTGTTACTAGCAGCGTCTTAAGGAGATGCCTGGGAGATTCTCATGTTTGACTGTTTGAGCTGATCTTTCTCGAGCGGCGCAGAGGCGAAGGAGATGAAACAAAGGCAATGAAAATCCTTCAGGCGAGGGGCCACGGCAGGAAGCAGACCACGTGGGGTGTGAGGGTTGATGGGGGATGACGGGGATGACTCCCTTTAGAGGGAACTACAGCTGAGTTCAGATTGATACCTCCGCAGTGATACACCTGCACAGCTCCCAACCTCCGCATGCTGCCCAGCAATGCGCTTGCTACGGCTCTCCAGGAGGGCCTCCGTTGTGGCGCACGGCCCGCGGAGCTCCTGAAGAAGTCCGGGGGCCCAGATGCATTTGGACTCATGCGATTTCAGGACCATGGGAGCTTGCGCCGCTCCGCCATGTGAGCTCCCGTGGCCGCAGTCGGTGAGCAGTGAGCCGGTGAGTGACGTTTAATCAGGCGAATCTGTGCTGTAAGACCAATCAGCCACTCAGATTATTCTCCGGAACGCGGCAGGGGAGGTTTTCGTCGCAGATTACCACGTACAAAAGATATTGGGCAGTCGGCAGTTGTTAGTGCGGGTTGTGAATTGAGCAGACGGCTCTATGTTCAAAGGTTTGTAGGAATCCATCCATGAACTGCCCTAAGAATCCTTGGGCTCTCCATTGCACTGGAAACAATCCTCCGGATCTGGCAGGGTTTCCTCGCATCACATGACTTGAAATTTGAACCACATAAGGGGTCAGAACATATGTATATATATATATTTATTATATATACGCGTGTTGATTCTCGGGCAGCAACTAGGCCTCAAATCGATTCTAATCATACCCTCAGAACCCACATATCCTAGAGGGTCCAAGTCTCTTCTCAGAATGTACAGTACACAGTTTGATCCAAACCAGTTTTGTTGACCATTTTCAGAAAGATTCAGATGGCTTGGATCAATCCAACAAGCATCATTAAACATCGTCATTTGGACTACCAAAAGGACCGAGAAAGACCCTAAATTCTAGATGGTGCCAAACAGAATCGCGTCCGCAGGCAGATCGCCAGACTCCTCTCCCGCGATTCGCTGAAACAGGCGCAGCAAAGCAGCCTTCCTTGGCTTGGCTGAAACAGGGAGTTTGAAACACCCTTTTCACACACACATACTGACTTACCTATGTATGGAACTGGAATCGGTCTTTATTGAACATGCAGTGCATGCTTTGCGGACTATGTGTTCTCTTCCCACAGGGTCAGGTACATCCTTTTTGGGAGTCCTTAAAGTGAAACTACTTCCTGAGCATGATCTCTGGAGCGAAGGTACCTTCGCGACTGTAGACTCTTGGCTTGAAAAAGCACCTGAAAGAGTTTGCTGTTGGGATCCAACCAGACGCCCGAAACCCTCGTAAACCCCCGAACTCTCGGCCGCTTGGCTCAGAATCAAACTCACCCAAAAACATCCAACCAGGACGCTACTAGGGGCTCCTGGCCATACTACTAGGAACAAGAAGCTATTAGGGGCTCCTGGCCGTACTACTAGGAGCAAGAACGCTACTAGGGCCATCATTCCCAAATTAAGACCTCCTCGGGGAGCTTCCTTGCGCGCAGGTAGCCTCGGAAGTGCGGACGCAGGTAGCTCGCCTCTCAAGGGTTTGGAGCGGTTGGGTCTCACAAATCCATGGGACTTGAAGCGCTTGTATTTGGATAATTTTGGAAGGAGAAAGTGTAACTATTCCGCATGGATGGTATGGAAGTTGGCTATCAATACTCTGTATTGACTGAAGGCTGGTGCGGAATTGAGGCTTGGGATTGAGAGAATTGGTGTGGCTGCCTCAAAGCAATACGTGCATCCATCTTCCATCAGTTTGACGTGAACAGGCGTCCATCAACCACCCCCGTTTGCTCCCGGCAGGCAATTGTTTAGTTCATTTTATTTCCTGCCAGCGGCTCTAAACTATTCGCCGGGTGAAGAAGGTTTTCGGGCATGTTGGAGTGCATTGGATGAGGAACCCAACAACCAGGTTTTAAATCAGAGACTTTTGAGAGGACAAAAGGTCGCGATTGTTGATGGAAGAGATGCTTGTACCCTCTCAAAGCTCTCAGTAACTCACAAATTGAATTGGTTGAAAGCCCGTAGCTGCCGTAGCTGGGCCCGGTATTCATTCGCCGCTGAGCGGTGAGCCAGGTATTAAGTGGTTGGCCTGGTGATCTATTCAATCTATTCCCATACATGTGCAATCATTTGCTCCAATGTAAGCATGGCCGCAGCATGGCCTGACTTCTTGCAACAGAGAACCGGCTCCCAGCAGTGTGCCAAAGAGAAATCCATCGATCCATCCTTACCTGTCTAAGGCCAAGCTCTTACTTCTAACCGCTTCTAGTTTTTTGCTTGATGGGCTCATCAGGTTCCCTTTTTCCTCTCTGGCCAGGCAGATTGTGCCGTGCAGACGGACGAAGTGGCTCCTAGCCGCCCCTCGGATTGAAGGAAAGGGAGATTCGAGCAGTCAGGAACTTGTTGGTTTGTTGAAGGCCGAAGGCACATGGACAGTATTGGGCAGTTCTTTTCAACACCGATCAACACCTTTTTGTCTGCGCTTTAGGTGAAAGTGGTTCTGTTGTTTAAGGAGTTTCCACAGGGTGGAAAGTGCCATCAAATCTTGGACTCGTGTTTTTCATTGGGGCAAAGGGACATCACTCTGAGACCTGAAGTCGTCTTCATTGGAATCCAATGACGAAATCATTTTGCAAGGTCATTCAATGTCATTCAATCAGGAGATCAACCAGGGGAGCATTGCCGCAAGAACCGCCAATTATATCAATGCCCGTATAGATGCCTTCGGTCCTTGGCAAATTTGATAGACAAGGCCCCGTAGATAAGTTGGGCCATAGCGGCATGGTTTGAGTCCTCGGATCATGACCATCCTTCCGAAAAAGAGTCTTTCAGGAACATTGACTTTGGTGGGTTGATGCGCAGGCATACTTGAGCCTCATGTCCTGGATTGGGTGCTCTTCGAGATTCTTCAAGTGATTTTGTAGAATTGGGCGAGAAACCCATCCATGATGAGCGACCCTTGTAGCCCCGGAGAGTGTACACCGAAGGTTCAGGCACAATAATATGGTGTACTATGCAATATGCAATCAATCAAAGTCTTCTTTTGATGGAAAGTTATGTGCAAAACCCCATCAGATGTAAAACATGATAAAACAGATGTGCGTCTTGCTCAAATAGATGCGCTTCTCCAAGGACCAAGCTCCTCTTGGCCGACCGACCGCCCGACCCTCGCTGAGCGAGTCCTCCGGTCGCTCGAGCGGATGAACCGGACCTGCTGTCGGGCGGCCGAGCTGGGTCGTTCTTTGAAGTTACTACTGTAGTAAGGCCAGGAGCGTCCTTGCTCCTACAGTAGATGGACAAAATATTCAAACCCCTGTATCAATAACTTTGGTCAACCCCTGACCCCCAAAGGTCAATGTTGAACATGACTTGATTGAATTTTGTGTTTCCAGGGTTTGATTTGTTTCGTCCATTCGCCGAAACACTCCTACAAGATCTCTAACATTGAGCTTTGGGGTAGAAGGGGTCCACGTGGTTGGAAGGGTTTGAATATTTCGTCCATCTTTGGTACTAGGTGTGGACGGCGACCGGAGACCTACAGGCGCACATGCGTGTGCTGTTTTCAAGTGATGCCGGGCATTGTCCTTGCAGGTGCGTGAATTATCCTTGGAGCGAATTTGGGATGCTCATGTGAGATGAAGTTGGACGACAGACAAGAGCCGTCGCTGCTCAAATGGCAGCAAGGCGTTGAAAGCTGTTAAGGCTTTCCAGTCTGATACCAACAACTCTTTCACATCGACGGCTCCGAGAGTAGCTATCTCTGCTACCAACGCATCGGCAATTGCACGGGAGAGGTGAGCCTTTTCAACCAGGTCGTCCATCCCAGCCAATGTGGTTTCTTTCTGAGGAGTGGCCACAGGCACCGTCCTGAGGACTTGAGCAGCGTCGAAGGTCGCAGCACCGTCCCGGATCCAGCAGCACATACACCGTGCACACGGTATCGTGTCTTTTAGGTGTTGTACTGTGGCCACACAATTGAACTGCCAGAGTCGACTTTGCATATGTCGGATGTCCTCTCCATCAACACCAGGTCGAGGAAGCCACAAACCTTCAGCCTTCGCCGTGAGAACGCAACCATGGTGCCACTCGAAGTCAACGTTGCCGTCATTGAAGGACTGGGAGACTTGCACTTCAAAAGGCTGCCCCTGAAATAGGCTCAGGAAGGTTGCCACTGGAACTGTCTTCTGTCCATACTCGACACGGCGGAAATCATCCCAGAAAAGAAAGCGCTTCTCCTTGAGGATGTTGCAGTCCAAAGGACGACCCAAGGGCAGGTTTGCGGAAGACTTTGGCAAAGCCAAATAACTCATCAAAAGGCAAAACCAAGGTGGACTTTCCTGAGTTTGTTGGACCCACGATCATCGGAGCTCTTGTGTTCTTGGAAGGCCCAGCAACCAGGATGTTCCGCAAGGCTGCTGCGAGGTCTTTCTGCAACAGAGAAGCGGCCATTTGCGTGGAAGAACGTAGCAGCTGCGTGAGCATAGGTGCACTCAGTGCCATGCGGACATTCAGCAGCAGCTGCTTGACAATGTTGGTGATGTAGTCACCTGACAGGCTGCAAGCTGTTCGTTTGAGTCTGGCAAGGTAAACCTTGCGAGTTTCTCGTTTGGTCTTTAGCCACTTTGCCTCAGTCTTCCGCATTTTCTGGTTGACTGCTGCCCAGAAGCTAAAGTCTAGCGGGTTGATCTCTTGGGCTGGTCCAGGGTTTCAATGCCAGCAGCAGCCTTGGCTGCCATGCCCTTGCTGCTCTTGTAGCCGGTGGGGTCGTTGTCTTCCAAGACCTTCCAAGACGCGCCAGCATCCTCGGACATGGGGGTATTCCTTCTCCAAAGCACGCCGCAAAGGTCCAGCGTACATCTCCGCTGCGGCCTTTCCGCTCCACTTCCCGCAAAATCACATGCCACATCAACACCTTTCCATTACCAATGGCGCAGGTGACTGTCGCAGACTTGGCCCCGGTGTTCTGGATGAGGGTCGTGGGCGGCTTTGTGTACCGAGCAGTGAAGATTCGACTCCTTGGCCGGTAAGCCCCACGCACCTGCCGACGGGCCGCATAGTCCCGAGCTTGCCCTGTGTGGTACACCTGAATTGTTTTGTTGTCGATGAAGGCGTGAACGTACCGGTTCCATTGGCCAGGGCTCCGGTGCGTGTGTTCCAATGCCCATTGCTGCCTTTCTGTCACATCTGCAGGAGACAAGTCTGGTTTCTCATACAGCGGTCGGAAGTGGATACCGCGCTGCCAAAAAGCCCGACTGATGGACTTCTCACTGCACTGCAGCTTCATGTAGTGCTTCAGCGTCTCGATGGTGATTTCCTTACCCCGCGACTCCCGCAGCAACTTTTTGTGGCCTTTCTTTCTGAATCTGCTTGAATTTGGCCTCTGTGATGACCACTGGCCGCCCGACATGTTGAGGCTTCTGGCGCTTGTTCTTTTTGAACAAGTGCTTGGAGACAGTGTCAGAGGACCGGTGCACAGTCGAAGCAATGGCCTTTACACCAAGACCATCATCATGAAGGGTTTTCATGAGCTGGCTTTCCTCAGCAGAGACATGGCGGAAGGCAGCGTCCGAATCCTTTTTCATTGACTTGAGGTGGCCAATCACCTGTCGGATGGCCTTGGTTCCATAGCCCAACTGCTTCACGCGGAGGTGAAGCAGACAGAGAAAGCTTTCGTCGCTCTAGCAGACAAGACCAAGCCAAGAGTATTACAGAGGAAGATGTTGGACGTATTTGGACATGACGTGTGTTTGCAAAGACAATTACAGATGTAGACACGACGCCTGGAGACAGTAGATGGACAAGACGTTCAGCACAGGATGACTACAGATGAAGATGTTAAATTTGGTGCTTGCAAAGGCAGGACCAGGTGAACCCGCGGACACCATTGTGATTGAAGCCTTGCAGCAGACACCGAGACGTTTCTCTGCTATGTACAGTCATCACAAGTGCTGTTCTACCACAGAAGATGAAAACTAAGTACTACGGATGCAGACGGTAGACTTGATTCTTGCAAGCCAAACATATGCAAACGTCACACCTTCAGACAGTAGATGGACAAAATATTCAGACCCCTGTATCAATAACTTTGGTCAACCCCTGCCCCTCAAAGGTCAATGTTGAACATGACTTGATTGAATTTTGTGTTTCCAGGGTTTGATTTGTTTCGTCCATTCGCCGAAAAACACTCCTACAAGATCTCTAACATTGAGCTTTGGGGTAGAAGGGGTCCATGTGGTTGGAAGGGTTTGAATATTTCGTCCATCTACGGTAGTAGCGATGCCAGGAGCCCCTTTTAGCGAACATTGTTCCTAGTAGCGATGCCCTTTGCTCCTAGTAGCAAGAATGCTCCTAGCAGTGATGCCAGGAACCCATGCCAGGAGCCCAGTAGCTTCTTGTTACTAGTAACGATGCCGCTCCTAGTAGCGTCCTCTTGTTCCTAGTAGTACGGCCAGGAGCCCCTAGTAGCGTCCTTGCTCCTAGCCTTCTTCGTCTGCTGGACTCCTTCCATCTCACGCACTCCCCTGCTGTCGGGTGGTACGTCTCCCTCCCGGATGGTGTTGATCGTGTTTTTTTGAATATTGGATGTTTGACCATGCTTGACAGTGTTTAACTATAGTATTCATTATTGCTTGCCATGAAAGGTATCTATACAACTGATCAGTAGTATCCAGTCCACTTCGCATAGTCTAACGAACTCTCTCAACCCTCAGCACAGGGCCAGTGAACTGATCCGGCGCCTCATTGAAAGAGTAGGGCTACTGGTGAACCCACAAGCTTTGCCAGGGTTGTCATGAGCGCTGTTGAAGGCAGATAGGAGTACTATAGAAGACATGTCGAGAATAATTTTTTTGTGGATAATTACTGTCGGTGACGTCCTTGGGCGTAGCATGGCGTAAATTTTGCAACAATGTAAGTAGCATAGCTAGTAGGTTGGAGGCCATCGCTAGTAAGTAGCATAGACTGATAGTTTTGGCTCTCGCCCCCGATCCAGGTCTCTTTGACGTCTTCGGTGCCTGGAAGGACCTCCGCGACGCTGCGGTGCAGCTGCGCCGAGAGGCGCAGACGGCGCAGACGACGCGCAAGTGGTGCCAGTCGCCGAAGATCCAAAGATGATGTGAAGATGATGTGTTTGTGTTTGTTTGTTTGGTTTTGTGACCTCCAAAGACACATAAAATATCTTAATTGCAATTTGGTTTCTGGCATTGTCAATTTGGCACTCCAGGCATATTGTAAGGGTGAATCCCCAAGTAGACTAAGGTTTGGCACAATTGCTAGTTTGTAAAGATTGTAAAGTCGTGATCGGTTTGAATGGATCGGCCACCTTTGCCTGTTGAGACCTGCCAGGTGCCTGTGTTTCCTATGTCGCCGGGGTTTCCTATGTCACGGTTGAAACATACTCCACAAGTCCACTCTTTTCGCAAGACAACCTTGTCCTCAAAAATTCACGTCCGATGTGGTTTATTTATATTATGTTTGTTTGGGCAACCCTGATTCAAGCAACAACAACCCCAGGGTTCGGCTCTGTAGTATCGATGCGACAGCCCAGGATGGCTCTTACGCAGGCCACCCAGCCCAGCGTGATTTAGAGCTCCATGAAAAAGGTGTTCAAAGTCCCAAGTCCCTGTACTGGAATCCGATTCCGCTCCAAAAGGTTCAGACCTCTTGTATAGAGGTCTCAATTGACCTGTAGAATCCGTTGCTATCGTATGCTTTGCAGTGAGTGCATGTGAGTGTTATATTTTATATTTCCTCTTCACCACCAATCACGCAAATAGCACCGCCAGCACTGCCTCATTCGTCACGACTCAGGATCTCGTCGCCCGTCGCCGCCAGGCGCTGTTCGACGCCTTGCGCACGCAGCTGGACATGGCCCAGCGAAGGACCCGTGCCGCCGAGGTGGCGACTTCTACAGGTCGGTCTGGTCGATTCGATTTGGATGCTTTTTTTCAGCAGGTCGTGTTTTTCTTTGAATTGTTTTTGGGGGTTTGGAGATGGTTGGCTTGGTGGATCGGTCGACTGTGGGTTGAGACCGATAGTTCCGATAGTTGTGGAATAGCTGAGCCCTCATGTCCATGGTACATGGGTACCGATGATCAACGTGTTTGAAGCGGTCCTGGACATACAGATGGTGCATGATTAGGGTTAATAGATGTACTGTACCTATATGCATGGTTTTACTGTGGCATGCGTTTAATGCTATGTCCCTCAACCTTTTTGGAAGGAGACTGGTTCCACGAGCAAAGTCACCCCCACGCACCACTTGCCAGTCTAGACAGTTATGGAATGTTATGGAGGCATTCTTGCGGAGAGACAGCCGAAGCAGTCTTGGCAGACTCTCTTTGTGTGCGGCGAAGCTTTGCAGCACCAGCATGAGCCCTGGTTTTGCCACCTGCAGCCACAAGCTGCACCAAGTGCGACCAAGTGTGCCTCCTTAGGAGAAACACAGCCGATTTGGCTCTTGTGGCGCAACTGACCCGCCTTGACGCGACTGATTTGCGATTCAGCAGGTCTCCGCTTACGATCAGTGCATTGTGCGTATCGCTCCATCAGCAGTGCGAGTCCTGCTACCAACCATTATATGGGAAGTACCTGTGGCCTGCAGTTTTGTAGATGTTGAGTCTTGGGAACGATTGGTTACCATCTCCCCACTCCGTGGACAATCGGCAAAATTTGTCCCCGGCCCTCGATGCCAGTTATAGTCCCCGGCGTGGGAGATCCAACACAAAACCATGCCATCAACCTACTGTATCGCCATGTTTGGCCATCATGACTTTCGCAAGATATTAGTTATGTGTTTCCTTGTGATATCCAGGGAACCCCATGTGCATGTGTTTGTTCAAACACGTTCCCAACAAAAAGAAACGTGCATCCATTTTTTGTTGACAAACATGGCTGGAATTGCTCCGAATATTGGGTTTGATTAGTTTCCAATAAGCCGTCGATAATCTTTGGATTTCATATAGGTACGGTTTTGGTACGGTATGTTGTTCTTTGTATTAGCCATACGGCTTAATACGCTCGTTCTTTGAGAGAAAATTTGTCCAAATAATTATGCATTCGCGCAAAAATACGTTCATACACCTTTCCAGGATGTTTGTAGGTCAAAAACAAAGACCCAATGGTCCATATATGATCGGTTGGCATGTTTGGGCGCGTCCGACATCCCATGGACTTCATGTTTCCTCCTCAGGTGTGGTGCCATGATGCAAATCGCCTTCAATCCATGTCTATCCTATTTGGCTTGTTACCAGTAGCGATGCACTTGTCACGAAAGGTAGCGGTTACGCTACCTGAGTTGTCTTTGCTTTAGCAATAATGTATTGGGGGTGGTGAAGTGGTCCGGTGCTTGATTTCGGTCGTTTAAGAGTTGGATTTATATAAATGTCGGGGGGGGGCCGGCCCCCCCCCCTCCCCCCCATTCGACTCCACCCTGCGCCGCGGAGAATTTGGTAGTGATCTGAGCAGAAGCAAGCAGCAGCAGCAGCAGCAGCAGCAAACCAGCAAACCAGCAAAGCAGCAGCAGCAAAGCAAATAGGTAGCACCAGCACCAGCAGTAGCAAACGAGCAGCAGCAGTGGCGGCGGCAGCAGCAGCAGCCGCAACAGCAAAGCAGCAGTTGCAGCACAGCAAAGCAAAAAACAGCAGCAGTGGCACCAGTGGCAGCAGCAAGGACTGCAACAGCAGCAGCAGCAGCAGCAGCACCAAAGCTCACACAAGTTTGGCCTCCACAATCTTTGGTTTTCGTTCAGTTTTTTTGGGGTTGCGCAGACGAAATTGAAAGTCGGGGGGACAGCAAAGCAGCAGCAGCCTTCAGGATTCAAGCAACAGCAGCAACCAGCAAGAAGTAGCAGCAGCAGCAACAGCAACAGCAACAGCCAAACAGCAGCAGCAACCAGCAGGAGCAGCAACCAGCAGGAGCAGCAGCAGCAGCAACCAGCAGGAGCAGCAACCAGCAGCAGCAGCAGCAGCAACCAGCAGCAGCAACCAGCAGCAGCAGCGGCGGCAGCGGCAGCGGCAGCAGTGGCGGCGGCAGCAGCAGCAGCAGCAACAGCAAAGCAGCGGTTGCAGCACAGCAAAGCAGAAAGCAGCAGCAGTGGCACCAGTGGCAGCAGCAACGACTAAGCAACCAGCAGCAGCAGCAGCCGCAGACATGCTACCTTTCGTCCACCCCCATCTCCTCAAGTTACTAGTAGAACATGTCAATAAATATAGCATCCCATCATCCCCGGAACATGTGAAAGGCTTTCATCACTTGTTGGTAAATGGCTCCCCTCTCTTACCCATCATCCACTGTGATTCGGATCGCCGTCGATCCATTTCCGGAGGTGCACGTGGGCCTCTTCGGGCCTGGGTGCTGCTCATCCTCAGGTGCTCCGTGGGGTGAGTCACTCGTAGAGGGCACTCGTTGTGCACTGCTTTGTGAGACATCCTCCCATGCAACCCTGTGGCTGGTCCTTTTCGTGATGGTTTGCTTTTTTGGAACCACAAAGCAGAGGACTTCCAGAGCAAAAAGATGTGCTTTTCTCTCCGAACGTCCCTGTGGTTGGAGGCTGCTTGTAAATGAAAGATTGGCCTTTGAAGGCATTTTTGGCTTCCAATATGCTTCCAATCTAAAAGTTCAATGACCGGGAGAAGAAATCAGATGCAGTTGGCAAATTAAATCTGTGGAACGCAGAGACCCTGCCGTACTATAGTGGCTAGCCTTGGCCATTGGCCATTGTTGCCCATAATTTTTCCAGCGATTCGCAAAGTGATGAAGACTCATGAGAGTTGCTTCCAGGAATTTTGCAGAATCTGTGGCTCAACCAACGGGCCCAGAGAAACATCCCATCGTCGTCGAATGGTAGCGATCAGCTTCATTTCTTCGGTGGATTGGCCAGGACCTGGCGTTCAGCCGCGGAGCTTTGGCGTCTCTTGGAGTGTGCGAAGGGGCGAAGATGGATGGTGGGTGAGGAATGCAAGCAGAGGGCTCGAAGATCAGACAGAAAACCAACTCCGTGCCCCACATGGATTTGGATCAAAGCCAAACAGTGCCGGCCCGGAGCATAACAGGCAAGTAAGTTTGTCGACACGCGGGTCTTCATCATGTGGCGACACCCGGGGTGGCACGACAGCCAGGACTGGGATGTTCAGTAGCAAATGTTTTGTTGAGAATTGTGGGTCGCTAGGTCCCAGTCAGAGGGCACTGGTCACCGCGTGTTGTTTGGAGTGATACTGCAGACCACCACGACCCAATCGCGCTGAGCGAAAGCATCAGCTTTGGCCAAAGAAAGCCACGTCGTTCAAGAAGTTCAGGAAAAGTTTTCCCTAAACTGGCACAAAGTCGTTTTGTGCTTTGTTTGACATGCACTGCTGGCCCGACATTCAAACAAGTAAAGTCTTACAAGAAGGTACATGTCATATTCATATACAGTAGATTAATTACAGTAGATAGTTGGACAATGGCATGCAATATAGTCTATAGTTTATCCTCCAAATTACCGGACTGTGACCCCCTGGCGCAGGGCCAAGCACTGCTTCTCTTGTTTATCTTCAGGCGTTTCCGAGCGAAACCCCAATCGGTAATTTCTTTCGATGACTTGTTTAATTGAGGATATTGAGGGAAACTTCTGGAGCAACGGCTTTTATTTGTGGTAGTCAAGATTAGTGAAAGGGGCGTTCCTTTTCTATAGCCCAATGTCAGATTTAGAAAGCGAAACGAGGTAGGAACACCCCGAGAACGAGATGGGCATCAATTGCACCATTTGTTTGAAATGGTTTAGTTAATGACATGTTTAGCTGGTGAAACGAGGTAGGAACACCTCTCGAGAACGAGATGGATATCCATTGCACCAAACAGATACAGGAATGGAGAACGAGATTACACCCCAAAAACGATGGGTTATTGGAGAACGGGGTAAGGAAGGCCCATGTGATAACTTAACGGAAATAGTTTCCATCGCTCATATGGCGGGGCGTCGGAACCCTTTTGAGATACCAAAAAGATCCAAAAGGTTTGTCTATGAGTCTATTCCTTGCAGGGCTTGATAGGCCTTGGTCAACAGTTTGTAAAGGTGGCATCTATTTTGGTCATGACTCTTGCGTGAAATAGTGGAAGAGGCCCAGCAGCTATAGACGATGCAAACCAATAAAATCCAGTCGCTGGACAATCTGTTGCACCAACGTAGAGACCCAACGAAGAGACCAAGTGGGAGTCAGGGGGGTTCAAAATGGTCCTCAATGTTGTTCATGAACGGCGTGAGCAATGTGCTAATTGTGGCAAACAACCTGGAACAGTGAATAGGTGTGAATAGCACTTAGCAATACATCCCCCTGGCTTTTTTGGATCTGGACAATGTCAATAAACGGACTCGCTCGACAAGCTTGTGTGACTCCCTCCTGAGGTCAGCGGCAGAGGTGCAAGTGAGAGGGTCTAGGGGGCCTGTGACATTCCTTTTTGCAAAGGCTTGCCCCAGAAGCTGACAGAACCTTGTGCATAAAAGAATGGTAGAGAGATGCAACAGAACAATGGACATGAAATCATCCTTCATCCGTGAAGATCAAAGCCTTTGAACTCAGCCTGCACAAGTGATTGGAACCTGAACTTTGTTGACCACCTGTGAAGTTTTTCATGGTGATCAGAAACCAGTTTGGATGATTTTGGATGCTTCCAAGTACTTTTGCAATAATTTTGTGAGGCTAGATGGAGACCGGGCAACATGGATATACTCCAGCCTCTTCTACCCAGTACTGAGCTGTTTGCACATGTGATGTACCACATGTTCTGTTTCATGGAGCTTTTTTGGTTTGCCGACAGAGTGCAGGTACGACTTTTCCGGTGATAGTAGAAAACCGCCGACAGCGCAGAAGCTACTACATCCTCACCACTGATCCAAGCAACTGGGGTTCCGCTCCACGTTTGATTCCTCACCGGTCACAGGTGTTTGATTCTGGAATTCCTGGATCCATTCGGGTAGATCCACACGGTGCGCGTTCGGTGAGGCTCGCAGAGGTGGCCTTCCAAGAAGAGCTCAGACGAAGAGCGTTCAGAGCGGCTTCGGCAGAGCTGGAAGAGCTTGATGCAAAGAACCAGTATTGAATGGAGGTAACCAATGAGAAAGCAACACTTTTTCCTAGCGGCTAGCGATGGCCTCCAAGCTAATAGCAGTGGCCTGTCCCAATTGAGGTTCTCCTGGCGTGGAGAAATTTCCATGAGAAGACCCCACGTGAGCCTGTGCAGCCTGTGGCCGCACCCATGCTCGAGAGTCTCTTGGCCAAGGACAGGGTTTATCCTGAGCTAACAACATTAAACCACCAGCAGTTGAGGCTAGTTGAGGCAGTTTGTTTGTCAGACACATTTGACCAAATGTTTTGTAAGGGTCAGAAGCCAACTCCAAATTTGACCTCTTCCGGACTTGAGGCTTGTTGGTGGATCTTCAACCAAAAGAGAAGCTGCTCTCGCGGACCCGACAGCGCTCTCCTTTGCGCACTGCGGAGCAGCGCAACGCCAACGGCGCAGTGCTGACCGCGCAACGAAGCCCACGCCATTTGACCTAGAATATGACGAACGGGATCGGAATGGGCCTAAATTTGCCTAAATCCTTTGTAAGATCCGTATTTGTAAGGGGCCTCCGCTCGCCATTTTGTTTGTTTCTTTTTTTCAGGGTTTTAGGGGGGTTGGTAATTATCGTCCTCTGGAGTAGTAGTAGTAGTAGTAGTCGTCGTCGTCGTCGTCGTCGTCGTAGTCGTAGTGGTAGTGTATAGTGGTAGTGGTAGTGGTCGCGGTGGTAGTAGTAGTAGTAGTCGTAGTCGTAGTCGTAGTCGTAGTGGTAGTGGTAGTGGTAGTAGTGGTGGTGGTGGTGGTAGTAGTAGTAGTAGTGGTAGTCGTAGTGGTATAGTGGTAGTGTGGTAGTGGTAGTGGTAGTGTGGTAGTGGTAGTGGTAGTGGTAGTGGTAGTAGTAGTAGTCGTCGTCGTAGTAGTAGTAGTAGTAGGAGGAGTAGGAGTAGGAGTAGTAACAGTAGTAGTAGTAGTAGGAGTAGGAGTAGTAGGAGTAGGAGTAGTAACAGTAGTAGTAGTAGCAGCAGTAGTAGTAGTAGTGCAAAATTTATCTGGATTTCAAATCAGGATAGAGCCAGATAGCTAGGCAGAATCCCACGAGCTGTTGACATGCGACTGGCTGGAACAAGAATGTACGCAGCCTGCGCAGCCAGCTTACGACACCTCGCACAATCAGCTGACACCAGCGCCCGACCAGCGCCGCCACCCGTCTTAAAAAGGCGCTCAGCCAGCTCACAGCACCAGCACCCAGGACCACAACACCAGCACCAGCACCGACACCCTTTCAAAAGCGCGCGCAGCCAGCTCATTCTTGCAGCAAGAGCCCCATGGCTATCCCTACTTGGGGAATAACAACGTATGATCTTGCGCGTATAAG